AGTAGCCCAATTGGGCTACAAGCAGCCCAACCTGGCATCTCGGACCAGGAGTATGGAAGGAAAATGAGCAGTGCAAAGACACAGCATGGAGAGAAGATACATGAACAAAAGAACAAGACAGGGCCAAAAACTCAAGAGGAAGCCCGGAAAAGGACCAACAAGCTCTAGAAAGGACCGGAGGGAAGCCGCACTGGCAGACGACAGGCGATCCACTAATACGGGAAGGAGGAAAAACCATCTTGAACCTTCGAGAACACAGGAGCAAACACAAATGACGAAGGCACCGAAAAACCCAGTCGCACCCGAGACCGAAAGGCATGCAGAACCCCAAGAAGAGGGGAACATGATGGGGAAGTCTTTCCAAGTTAAACGGGGTGAACAACGGAGAAGAGCACCCACCGACAGGATGGAACCAACGGGCATAAGGGACAAGAAACCGAGCCAAGGGAAGGGCCGATGCCCAACAACTCATGCGGAGAGTGGGAAGGAAAAAGAACACACACTCCGCGCAACGCAAGCCCCGCCCAGAGGGTAGAGAAAACCTCAGCGGGTTCCAATGGAGCCAGAGGCCCCCCAAGTCAGCCATTCTCCAGCCCCGGGAACCCACACAGCAGGCCCCGGGCCGAGCCGTCCCCCCCAAAGCCCCAACCTCAAGAAAAACCGGGGCAGCAGAGAAAAACACAAAAGAAGGAAGCCCAGTGGGAGATTCATACAATACGGCTGGAGGAACAGGCTCGAATGCCCCCGTCGCTACCCCGGAAGAGGAATTCCCCGAGACCAACCGAGTCTCAAACCCATGGAAGTCCTAACCCGACCCCGAACCTACAGACAGTAAAGACCCGGACGCAGGGAGGAAAGAGGGGGGGGGGGGGACCCGACAAGACCACCAACCAAAACGGGGCAGCCTCTGGGCTTCCGGGGAGCAAACAACCTAGCGCGTTGCCACCGAAACTTAACGTGCAACCCCCGTGCTGCCTGCACCCGTTTAGTCAGCAGAAGACTGGGTAACTGAGCCACAGCAAGCAACAAAACTCGCAGGACCCCGGGCCGAAGGTGTCACTGACCCCACAGGCAGCTGACGGACGCAAAACAGTGAGTGTCACCCAGAGACAAGGGGACAGAGCAACCCTCAAACTCTCACAAAGCGAGGAGGGGGGACTCCGGGGCCACATCCATCGGGCCCCATGCTCCCCCTAGGGGGTTTCCCAGGGTCCTGAGCGTTTACTATAAGACTCACGCTCAGGTAATCCCAGGCAGGGTACTGCTAACCGGCACCCATGTCTACCAAACAACCTTCTAAGAACTGAACCCCCGGGACGTGTACACTCACGAGGACCTAGCAGGAGGAACCACCGGAAGAAGGAAGAGAATCCAGTACAAAGGGGGCAAGAACCAAAGGCAGACCCCTCACCAGGTAGACAAACAAAAAGGAAAAACACCCCAAAAGAGGATAGCGTACCCAGGCGGAACAGAGTTGGCCGCTATGATTGGGGAAAACAAGCTGCACAGTACCCTGCACCCCTACCAGTGCAAACTGCCCCTTTCCCTAAGGCGAACAAGGAAGACAGAACCCCCCATCACACAAAGGGCGGCCGAAAACCAAAAAGTAGATGGCCTAGCAGAAGCAGGACCCAAGGAACTTGTGAAAGGTAACCCCAAGCCCCAAGGGCAGTACTTACAGGGCACCTAGGGAAGGCCACCCTAGGCGCATGCAGCCCGAGTACTGGAGACTCACTCCTGGCTCACCCACCACCTAGAAGACAGACACCACACACAAGGCACAGTGTGCCTAGAGTACCAACCACTAGAGCCGGAGCACACAACCAGTGCTTTTAGCATCAGCCGAAGAACTGATGGGTGGTTAGCCGGCGTGAGAAGTCTGGGGCTTCCCCTTCCCCCTCGCGGGGAGAGGGGAGCTGCGCAGACAGAGGCACGGTGACGTGTGACGTCATGCTTGTTTTCTGTTGGGGAGTTCTATCCAATAGTTCGGTTTTTGGTAGCAATTTTTACCAGAATAGGGGTTTGTTTTGGGATGCTTACCTTTCTGGATGTTTGACCCGGTCAATGGCAGACATAGAATGCTTCCAACCACACGGGGGTTTCTATAGGCCCATTGCTCCCCTTGCCTCTCTGAGGGGGGGCCAGGTTCTAGCCAGGTTCTAGTTCTGTGGTCCCCGGTGGCCCACAGAACTCTATACACATGACTGATGCCAAAGTCTGACATTAGCATATCAGCCTGGAATAGCTCTGGGGAGCCGACAGGGCTCCCCCCCAGAAAAAATGACGACTGGAAGGAGGGAGGGTTGCCGGGAAGCCTCCGGGACTCGCCCAGAAAATGGCGTTTCATTACATTCAACGCAGGTTTTCTGGGAGAAGCCCCTATGGCTCCCCGGAGCTACTTCACCAAAGATGAAAAAAGAAGGGGACCTACCCTTTATCAGAGCAATATCCAAGACTGATGGACTTCCTACTAACACGTATTTTATTTGTGCATTGTAATACACTACTTTAAATTAAGTCTTGTACAGTGGTACCTCGACTTACAATTGCCCCGACATACTATAATTTCGAGTTACAATGTAAATTTGATCGAAAAATGCAACTCGACTTACGATAGTGTCTTCGACTAACGATATTTGTTGGTACACGTTTGTGTCGACCGAGCGTGTGGTTCCCAGTCACGCGGGCCGACCTTCCTCAGTTTACTAGAGCCGCCCACTTAGTGACGATCACGCCTATAAGAAATTCCGTTTTTTTTTTTTTTTTTTTTGTGCTTTTGAACTTAAAACTGATTATATATCACGCCATGGGTCCCAAGAAAGTCAGTGGTAAGGTTCAACATACGAAAACCCATAGAGCAAAAACAAGAGATCATTCGTAAATATGTAGATGGTGTAATGCAAATATGAAAATGGTGAAAATGCAAATATGAAATATGGTGATTTATTGAACTAGCTAGGCAATACAATAAATCTCGGTCAACGATATCCACCATACATTCTAAGAAAAAGAACATTACGAGTGCTAAAATAGCAAAAGGCGTATCAATAATCACGAAACATAGAACACAAACACTTGAGGATGTTGAAAAGTTGTTATTAATTTGGATACACAACAAGGAGTTAGCAGGTGATAGCATTTCAGAGGCCATCATTTGTGAAAATGCAAGGAAATTGCATGAAGATCTTATGAAGAAAGCCCCTGGAACAAGTTATGTAGAAGTGAAAGAGTTTAAGGTGAGCAGGGGGATGGTTTGGGAAATTTAGAAAAAGAAGTGGCATTCATAGTGTTGTGAGGCATTGGGAGGCTGCTAGCTCAGACAAACCAGCGGCTGAAAGATTTATTGTCGAATTTAAAGATTTTGTAGACAGTGAGGCATACCTACCACAACAAGTGTTTAATTGTGATGAGACAGGGCTATTCTGGAAAAGATTGCCGAAGAAAACATACATTACCAAGGAGGAGAAGTCATTGCCCGGACACAAGCCTATGAAAGATAGGTTTACTCTCGTGCTGTGTGGTAATGTGAGTGGTGATTTGAAAATTAAACCCTTGCGTATGTATCATTCCGAAAATCCAAGGGTTTTCAAAAAATATAATGTGCAGAAACACAAAATGTGTGTGATGTGGAGGGCTAATGCTAAGGCATGGGTTACTAGGCAATTTTTTACCGAGTGGGTGAATGAGGTGATGTGCCCTGCCATCAAAAAATATCTGCAGGAGAACAGTTTGCCACTCATGGCCCTACTTCTCTTCGACAATGCTCCTGCCAATTCTCCACGCTTGGAGGATTCGTTCATGGAGGAATTTAGTTTTGTTACAGTAAAGTTCCTTCCTCCCAACACCACTCCTCTACTTCAGCCTATGGACCAGAAAATCATTGCCAATTTTAAGAAACTTTACAAAAGGGCCCTTTTTCGGAGATGTGTCGAAGTGACGGATGCCACACAATTCACCCTCAAAGAGTTCTGGGAAAACCATTTTAACATTTGTAGTGCTTTAAAACTCGTAGACAAAGCCTGGCAAGAAATGACTGCAAGAACCATGATCTCTGGCTGGAGAAAATTGTGGCCCGAATGTGTTGCAGAACGAGACTTTGAAGGGTTTGAGCCTTAACCTGAAGTGCCTCTTGTCGAGGAAATTGTTTCTCTGGGCATTAGGCTTTGAGTTGGATGATGCTGATGTGGAGTTAGTGGAGGAACACAATGAAGAACTGACCACCAAAGAACTCCAAGCCCTTCAAAAGGGCAGCAAGAAGAGGTAGCTGAGGAAATTTCTTCAGGGGGGAAGGAGGAGGCAGTACAGAATGTCCCTTCCTCAAAAATTAAGAATGTGTGCAGAATGGGAAGAACTGCAAACTTTTGCTGAAACGACTCTCCCAAATCAAGCTGCAGTAGGCAGTTGCCTTAACCTTTTCAATGACACTGTGATGCATCACTACCGATAAATGTTAAAATGAAGGGAAAAACATGTGTCTCTTGATAAATTTTTAGTGAGACAAACAAGCAGTGAACCACAACCAGGTCCTAGTGGCATGCAGGCAAAACGTAGGAGAGAGTCTACACCAGAGAAAACATCACTGCCTGATGATATAATGGAAGGGGACTCCCCTTCCAAACAGTAACACCTCTCCATCTCCCCCCTCCACCATCTTCCATATGCCATCAAGCCCTCCATAAAGGTAACAAACATATATACTGTCTTTTATTAGAGAAAAAAATTGTATTCAGTATAAAATGCATTTGTAAATTAATATTTGGGGGGGTGGGGGTGGGGAACGGATTAATTAAATTCCCTTTATTTCTTAAGGGAAAAATCGATTCGACTTACGATATTTCGACTTACGATGCGCCTCTGGGAACAAATTACCATTGTAAATCGAGGCCCCACTGTATAGCAATTTATTCAATAATTTATTATGATCACACAATGTGCAGAATATACACCTCATTGTAATATTTTGCCATTGCAGTTATTCAGGAATAATAGGAAATGGGTTCTCAGTATATTATATTTTATTTACACAAAAAAAAAAAGTTACAGCATTCCTGAAGAAACCACAATATTGAAACATTAAATTAACGTCAGCTTTGAATTTGTTTTCTTCAACTTGTCTAAATACAAATATTTTAGGGCAACAACAGTTTGCAAAATGGAAAGAAATTTTGAATACTTTATCTGATGACTGCCAGGAATGCACTTAATAGTAAATATTAAATTGTATAATTATTTAAATAGAAAGCATGCCATCGCTGTACTGGATGTTCAAATGAAAAAAAAATTTGAAGAGGTTTTCTTACATCTGCATTATGATTACAGTTTCTCTATCATTTCTGGCACAGCTTTAAATAGGTCTGCCACAAGTCCAAAGTCAGCAACCTGCAAAAAGTTCAAAATAAGTCACGAAAGACATCCTCATGACAAAAAGTCAGTGTTGAATGTAACGAAACGCCATTTTCTGGGAGAGACCCCCGGAGGCTCCATGGAGCTATACCGGGCTAATGTGTATATATTAGACTGTGGCAACAGTCAATCAATGGAGTTCTAGCCTACTGGAGACCACGAGCCAGAACCTGGTGCCCTCAGAGAGGCATGAGGAGCAATGGCCTATAGATACCCCCATGTAGTTGGAAGCAGTCTCTGTCTGTCATCTACCAGGTCAGGCACCCAGAAAGGTAGGAATCCCAAAACAAACAGCTGGTTAAAAATTGCAACTCAAAAGGCGATCGGGCAAGCAGAACTCCCCAATCAGAAAACAAACAAACAAGCATGACGTTACAGCTGCCTCGCCGCTGTCTGTGCAGTTCCTCCATCCTCCCCAGAAGGGGGAGCCCCCAAGACCTCTCACGCCAGCTACCCCAACCTCAGTTCAGAGCCTGAATATCAAAAATGTGAAAACTGCTGACGGGAAGGAGGGAGGGAGGGATGAATGCCAGGGAGCCTCCAGGTCTCACCCAGAAAATGGCATTTTCATTACATTGAACGCTGGTTTTCTGTGGAGAGCCCCTTCGGCTCCCTGGAGCTACCTAATCAAAGAGAAAGGAAAAGAGGGACTTACCCGGGAGGCGGCTATCACTCGCTCCTCAACTCAAAGTCGAGACAACTGGCTGCAACCTGCGACCCAAGGTTACACATTCCTGGGAAGGGCCAGGAATATTAACGAGGTACAGTGCAGCCATGACCCTGCTTTACCTCCAAAAACCCTGTGCCCGAATGTCAGCCCAGGACATATTACCAAAAAACAGCAGCCAAAGCCACGAACTTACAAAAGTTGTGTACACGTGAATAGACTGCAGGCTGGCTGGACTGAATAATTCTGCAGATGACCTGGGAAACCTGTGCCCTGGAACAGGGAAGAAGGGAAACCGGGTCAACCCAAAGCGCATCCCCTGCCATGGAGTCAGTGGCATGCAAGTAACAGCAAAGAGCCGCAACTGGACACAAAACATGATGCCCTCCCAGTCGAACCATTTGATACACCCCAAATCCTTAGCAACCAAGGATGCCAAAAGGGTTGGAACCTGCACGTGCAGCTATACAAGGCCAACATCCCGAGAAAGCACAGGACCGAACAAGCACACAATAAGGTGCTCAAACTGCCCCCCCCCCCCAGGTAAACCTGCAGAACAGTAGAAGTTTCTTGCCACTCAAGCGTGCAGGCCTGACAGAACCCATGCCACGCACCCAATGAAAAGAACGGGCAGTTTGCCAGCCAGGAAGATTCCGGAATGAAAGATTACGGAGAAGAACCAAACTCAAATAAGGACAGTTCCATGAAGGAGGCAAAATCTGGGTCTCGCAGGAGATACGCAGCAAGAGCCTCCCGAACCTCCTTGGGTAAGATTCGAGAGGCAGAAAACCTCCGGAATGAAGGAGCCGAGGAACCCAAGGAAACCCGGAACCAAACTGGAAAGAAGCCAACCACAAATCATACTCATACAGGGAAGGGATAGGGGAGGGGGGTAAGAAAACCCCTTTCCCCTGCAACTACAAGTCCTGCGAAGAGGGCACCAACACCCAAGCGGGGTCAAAAGGGGGCCCAAGGCCCCCCAGGTCAACTCCTCACCAGTTCCAGGATCACCCAAGTCAGGACCCGAAGCAGAGACGGCCTCCAAACCCTCTAACCCTGAAGAAAAGGCAGTCTAGGGAAAAGGCTGAAAAGAAAGGGGGCTGCTGGTGGGACCCAGAAGCCTCATAAGGAGGAACCGACTCAAATGCCTCCATCCCCAACCCGAACGAGGCAGCCCCCTTAGCTGCACGAGTCTCATTACCAACTAAACCCTGCCCTGTGCCCAAAACCCTCAGATGTTTGGGAGCCTGAAGCAGGCGGGAAGGTGCAGGATGAACAACAGGGGAAGGACCATGGAGTGCGGACTGAACCAAAGTCGAAGCGACTAACACCCTAAGGTCCAGATCCATATAACGAAAGCGGGGCATCCAGGTGGGAAACCAACCAAGCACGTTGCAGCAACCGAAACCTATCATGCAATGCGGATGCTGCCTGTACCTTAACAGTAATGTCATCAGAATAGTACAGGAGAACAAGCAGAGAACACGACTTGCAAGACTGAGTCAAAGACGTTTTTGACCCAACAGGCAGCATGATGAAGGCAAAAGCGGTGATTGTCACCCCTGAGACAAGGATATACGCCAACCTTCAAACTCGCACGAGGTAGGCTGGAACTTTGAAGACTCATCCATAGGTCCACCAAGCCCCGATAGGGTATTCCAGAGCCCTAAGGCTGTGACTGCTACAAGAAGCCCAGGCAAGTTGTTGCAAACCGGTTAAGACCCAAAGCTAACAAGGGGGGGATCAAAACACTGAAACCCCAGCTGGCTCTAAGGGCGGGGTAAGTGCTGTGCAGCAAAAACCCCTATGGAATTGGTTGCCGAACATACCGGGGAAGAGAACCCTAACACGCAAGGGTAGTTACTTACAGGGCGCTTAGGGAAGGAGCGCATGCATCTTCCTGGTTGGCAGACTGCCCTTTCTTTTTGCTTGTGGGCATGGCACGGGTTTTGTTGAACCTGCATGCTGGATTAGCGTTAGATTACTACTATGTTACAGGGTTTACTTGGAAGGGGGGCTTTTGAGCACCTCAGTGTGTGCTTTTATGCCCCTGTGCTTCCTCATGAGGTTGGCTTGCTCCAGTTGCACCTCCCTTTCGGCTGCCTTGGTTGAAGCAGATCTTTGCGCTCATGGGCATCTGGCCTCGGTCTTCCCTTCTTCTCCCTTCTAGAGTTGTCCACGGACTGGCTTGTGGAGGATGTGGAGGCGCTGAGTACCGGGCTGTCGTCTGGGGCGTTGGGCTTGGCTGTTAGGGCATCGGCGGTGTTGCTGAAACTGTGTCGATCCTCCGGGAGACAGTGTTTGTTTTTTGCCTCTCGCCTCGCATGTCTGCACGCCATCCTTGCTCTTTTTCTTTTATTCTGCTTGTGCTCTAGCTCTTAAGGTTTAGTCTCCTTTCTGTCCATTGTTGTTTTCAGACGTGATTGTTTCTCCATTTTTGCAGGTGGCTTCTGCCAGTTGCCGTCCTCTTTCTGATTTGTTGGTGATCTGGGGTGGGTATTCTCGCTCTTCCTGGAAGGGTCGTGCCAGGGCTCGGGTTTTGACTCTCCCAGAGCCGTCTTCGTCTGGTCAACGGGGTGGTCGCTCAGCACATACGTCGGTTTCTTGGAAGGAGCGCCAGCCCTTTTGTGGGTTGCCCCATTGATGGGGCGCTGGGGGGAGGCTAGCTCTGGATGCAAACACTTGGTCCCACGATTCGTGGGCGTTTCGGGTCGTGTTAACACCCTTAACCTCCTCTCCAAGGTTAAGGGCTGGTGGAGCAGGCTTTTTTTCCTTCGCTTTGTCGGGTCATCTTGGAGTAATTACATTAGCTAAGTGTAGTTACAGGGATGAGAGCTACGCTCGTGGTGTCCCGTGAGTGAGTGCGCTTTGGCGTGATCAAAATAATTTCATCCCTCAAGTGGGTTTCATGCTTGTTTCCAGTTCCGAAACGGGACTGTGCAGATCTTCGGTTCATCCTGGGCTTGTCCTGTCTGAACCGCTGGATTCCTTGCATATCCTTTCGGATGGTCACTCTGTCTCAGGTCCGGCTTCTTTTTGGGCCTGGTTCTTGGATGGTGTCCCTGGACCTTCGGGATGCATATTGGCAGGTCCCCATTCACCCGGGGTTCAGGGACTGGTTAGGTTTTGTGGTGGGGCAGCACACTTACCTTTTCATTCGTTTCCTTCGGGCAAAACCGCATGATTAGTTGGTGTGGGCTCCCAGCCAGTCTACTTCTCTGCTCACCAGGGGTTTGGTTTTCCCAGCTCGCCGGGTTAAGGTTCCTGGTGAACTGGAGGAAGTCCCATTTGGTTCCGTCCGGGGTTCTGACTTGGCTGGGCCTTGTTTGGGATTCTCGGACAGCATCTGTCTCTCTCCCACCTGTGGCATTACTTGGGTTGCATTTCCGCCATTGGCTGTTCTTGAGGGGATTTTCAGGTCACTCCACGATTGCTCAAGCAGCTGTGCAGGAGTTAGAACATTGCTGTGCTGGTTTACCTGATGGGTCAGGTTTGGCTTCGGCGTCTGGTCTGGTTCCTTCGGGGCCGTCCCTTCCGCCGCTCTCGAGATTGCTCGGTTTGTCCTCCGGGAGCCTTGCGTCGGTTGCTGGCTTCCTCTTCGGGTTTTTCAGGGTTCGGTGCCTTGGCGCTTTCCGGAATCCTCGCTAGATGCATTCACGGACACCTTGTCTCTCAGCTGGGGCTTCGTGACCAGTGCATACCAGGCTGGCCAGAGGCGGTGGACTGTGTCGTTCCAAACGGCTCACAGCACGGTGTGGCTTTCTCTGTAGCGGATTCGGCTGGCTTGAGACAACTATGATCCAGCTCCATTTGGACTGCACCCAGGTGGTTCATTGCCTGAACCCCTGGGGATCTCTTTGGTCCTTGGCTCTTTGGGGCTGGTTGCCTTGAGTGGCTCTTCTGCTGAGTTCTCGGGGTTTAGCTCTCCGTGCGGTTCACATCAGGGGCGTGTCCAACGTCCTAGTGGATGGCCTGTCTCAGTTCATTCCTCTGTCCACAGAATGAATGGTCGATGCCGACTCCCTCAGTTGCCTTTGCTGGATGTTCAGGCCCACGGAAGTAGACCTCTTTGCATCAGCGTGGTTGGGTGTCTCCCAGTGTATGTGGTGCCCTTTTATGACTGCGAAGCCGTCATAGTTGATGCTTTTCGGCAAGACTGGTTGAGGTAGGGGTACAGTAATTGTACCTCTTTCTACCGGTCCCACTGTTGCTTTGGGTTCTGGCTCGACTGGAGTCTTATCGGGGCAGGGTTCTCCTTCTACTTGCTCAGCGTCCGAACCCAAGGCATTTTCTGCGGCTTCGCCTCTTCCAGCTGTTTGGCCTGGTGAGATACCTTGCTGGTTTGATCTAGTCTTCCGCTCTTCGTGTCTGGTATTTTTGGTGTGTGTGTATCAGTACTTGTATGGTAACCAGGTGGCTTCTCTCATGGTGTACCACCTGCGGTCTTCTTGGCAACAGTATGAAGTTTCTTGGCATTCCTTTCGCCACTTCCTTTCTCTTCGTAGATTGCCTTCCGTTTCTCTTCGTGTTGTCTTGTCTTTCCTTTCTTCGTGTTTCAGGATCGACATCTTATGCCAAATACTGTTCTCTTATTGTGCTGCATTGGTGGAAACGCTCCAGTGGATCGGGATGGATGTCACTGCGACTCCGTTCCGTAAGCTTTTTTGTGCATTTTTCCAACTCTGGCCTACTAATGCCTGAGCCTGAGCCAACCTGGTCTGAGACCAGGACAGCTCGCCCTGCTCGCTCTCTCTCTCTCTCTTCTCTCCTCGATTTGTTGTGGCCCCTTCGGTTCAAGATTATTCTCAATAGGCTTTAATTCTGTTGGCTTTGGCCTTTGGGGTTGGGTCGGTGAACTTCATGCTCTCCTCCAACGCAGGGGTTTCTGCTCTTTCGGTCCTGGTGGACGTTTTGTTTATTTGCAGCTGTCTCCTTTCCTGGGGAAGAATGAGACAGCGGGCTTCCAGAGGGGTCTGTGGGTTATTGATCCTTGGTTGGTCAGGCCGGGGGTGCATCATGTTTTGTATCTGGTTGCGGCTCTCCACCGTTACCTGCATGCCTCGGGTTCTGTGTTCGGGGATGCAATTTGGGTTTATCCGTTTTCCCCTCATTCCGTTCGCAGGGGTTATCAAGTCCAGCCAGCCTGCGGTCTACCCTCATGCCCATGATGTTCAGAAGATTATGGCTCTTGCTCCTGCTTTTGGTATCATGTCTTGGGTTGACATTCTGCCACGGGGGTTTTGGAGGTCGAACAGGGTCCTGGCTGCCCGTTCCCCCTCATCTTGTGAACATTCTGGGCCCTCAGTGGCCTTGTGTGGCCTTGGGCCGTTGGTTGCAGCCAGTTGTCCCATCTTTGTCATGATGAGCACGGTACTGCTGCCTCCCAGGTAAGTCTTTTACTTATCTTCGGGTATCTAGCTCCAGGGAGCCCACGGGGCTCTTCACAGAAAACCAGCAATGAATGTAATGAAATGTCATTTTCTGGGCGAGCCCCGGAGGCTCCCTGGCAATCCGGGCGGAATTTTTTGTTTTCGTTTGCTCAGTCTCCAAACTGGTGGGTGAGTGGGGCCACCCCTCCCAGGGGGTGGGGTGCAAACGAGCAGTGTGTTGGTTTGATGATGATTTGCTTGTTGCATCATTTTTCTTGGGGGGAGTTCTTGGGCTCTGTTCGGTCATGTGTTGCAATTTTCTACCAGTTGGGGTTTATTTTGGGTTGCCTATCTCTCTCGATGCCTTACCCCAGTCAATGGCAGACATGAACATAATCTCAAACAGTGGAGATTTCATGGGCCATTGCTCCCTGCGCCTCTCTGAAGGAGCCAGGTTTTGGCTCTTGGTTTCCGGTAGACAAAACTCCATGTGACTGAAGCCCAGGATTAATATAGCTCCAGTGAGCCGACAAGGTTCCCCACAGAAATAATTGTTTACCATTACACAAGATCAATGATTACTCAAGTATGGTAGCTGTTTATCTACTCATTAGTATGGAGAAACAGAGTAAGACTATATCAAATTTACAATTTCGAGCTTTACATACACAAAAAATATTTCAACATATAAAAGATCTAGTCATGTAAACCTGAAAAATAGGAGCCTCAGGATCTTTATTAATGGCCACAATTGTTTTGGAGTCCTTCATGCCAGCCAAGTGTTGAATGGCTCCACTGATGCCTACAGCTATATACAGTTCTGGTGCCACAATTTTTCCAGTCTGACCAACCTAAAGAATAAAATATTTGTTAGTTTTAAAATATTTTTATTTCTATTTTTAGTTTTTTATTTAAATCTATAAATCTAAAAAATTAATTAAACTAATCTATTTTTTTATTTTAAAATCTATAAGGATTTTTTTAAGGAATCTGATATTATAAAGCAAATTATTTGACAATTTTGATTTAGTTTTCTGTTGTATGTATTACTTGTTCTAAGTGGTCTTATTTCACATCTCTACTATGCTTCATTCATTTCTCTGGTGAGAAATGAATGAAGCATAGTATCATTCATTTCTCATCTGACCTAACAACTCAACACTGCTCTGACCATGAGCCTAGTTTGAAAGCCACTCAGTAAAGATTAGCTATACAGAGCACCACTTGGTTTCCGAACTTTAGTTATCCGAAACTTCCAGTTTCCCGATTGCGGTTGGGGAGTCATGCTACCCGAACAAAGTTCGGGTAGGAAGGGGTCCGCCAAGCGTCACGCCGGCTTGTTGTGGTGGGTGGGAGATGGTCCAGTTTGCCCACTGTGACTTCACAGATTCACGGCCTATTATTCCTATTATTTTGAATTGCCATAAGGCTGGAATGTTCATTCTGTGCTTTTGTTTTACATATCTGCACAATCAAGAAACATCTGTGCACCATGTTGGCTCCAAATGCACGCATTGCATCAGTGATGGCCGACTGGTGGGTGGATGAACGATGCAACTTAGGTGGGAGGCAGTATGAATGAGGAGGGGGGGAGAATCAGTGACAGAGGGGGAGAGAGAGATGCTAGGAGGGAGGGGGAGGTAGGGAGAGATGTTAGGAGGTAGGGAGAGATGCTAAGAGGGAGGGGGAGGTAGGGAGAGATGCTAGGAGGTAGGCAGGAAGGGATGGAAGTAGTGAGAATTAGGGAGGGAAAGGCAGGCTGGCAGGCACAGGCAGGCAGGCACAGGCAGGCAGGCACAGGCAGGCAGGCAGGCAGGCACAGGCAGGCAGGCAGGCAGGCACAGGCAGGCAGGCAGGCAGGCAGGCAGGCGCAGCAGGGAGTGAGTGGTAGTCACGCGGTTGAACCGCGTGACCTTGAGAGATGGGATGTAGGGGGGCGGGTGGTTTGTTGGTGGTGGGGGTGAGACCGGCTCATTCCCGAAGATAAGCCTAACACACACTACCCGTTAGCATGATGGCAGGGAGGGAGGCAGGCTGGCTGGAAAGGAAGCAGGCTGGCAGGCTGGGAAGGAGGCAGGCAGGCAGGCAGGCTTGCAGGCTGGGAAGGAGGCAGGCAGGCAGGCAGGCTTGCAGGCTGGGAAGGAGGCAGGCAGGCAGGCAGGCTTGCAGGCTGGGAAGGAGGCAGGCAGGCAGGCAGGCTTGCAGGCTGGGAAGGAGGCAGGCAGGCTTGCAGGCTGGGAAGGAGGCAGGCAGGCAGGCAGGCTTGCAGGCTGGGAAGGAGGCAGGCAGGCAGGCAGGCTTGCAGGCTGGGAAGGAGGCAGGCAGGCAGGCAGGCTTGCAGGCTGGGAAGGAGGCAGGCAGGCAGGCTTGCTGGCTGGGAAGGAGGCAGGCAGGCAGGCTTGCAGGCTGGGAAGGAGGCAAGCAGGCAGGCAGGCTTGCAGGCTGGGAAGGAGGCAGGCAGGCAGGCAGGCTTGCAGGCTGGGACGGAGGCAGGCAGCCAGTCAGGCTTGCAGGCTGGGACGGAGGCAGGCAGGCTTGCAGGCTGGGAAGGAGGCAGGCAGGCAGGCAGGCTTGCAGGCTGGGAAGGAGGCAGGCAGGCAGGCAGGCTTGCAGGCTGGGAAGGAGGCAGGCAGGCAGGAAGCGATATATGGGTGTTGAAGTGAACCATGAACCACGTGACCTTTGAGTGTGTGTGTGTGTGTGTATGGGTTTGGGGTGGGGGGAGAGGGGGAGGTGTATCGGTGGTGGGGGAGGGACCGGCTGACTCCGTAAGCCTAACCACACTCCACAGACCTGTGACCCAGATTTGTTTCTTAAATGTACAGTACAGCATCGTATATTTTAGGCAGGATGTGCCTGCAGGCTGGCAGGAAACATCCAGAGGATGTTTGCCAGACGTCTTAATAATCAGTTAGGAACAATTAAGGACTTTTATAAAGCGGATCAGGACTTCACTTATTGGTGAGTACAAACAAAACACAGTCGCATTTACGCTATGAACCTGTCGATTTTTTCCCCTAGAGTTTTTTTCGTGAATTTTTTCGGAAAAATTTATTTTTACATTTCTAGTTTATTTTTTCCCCTCTATTTCTCGTATACGAACTTACATGTTAACCGACGGGTCTCGTCCCCAAGGGGTTCGGAAACCAAGTGGTGCTCTGTAACACCTATATTTAATAAATTTTGTATATTCAAATTTTTGTGTCCATATACCAAGGATCTTTTGAAATGTCTATCATTTGTATTTAATTATTCAAGCTGTTTTTGCTACTATGTATTAAATTAAAATGACTTATGACAATACACTGGGACTGTATATCTGTCATACACAAAAAGCATGATGCAAGTTTTCATTAATCTCAAAGCATTCTCTTCCATTCCCTACATTTAGAGGACTGTACCTGCATATCATTAGGAACAAAGCCTGCATCAACTGCTGCCCTGGATGCTCCAACAGCAGCATTGAGCTTATCAGCAAGTGTGTACAATAATTGGAAATTCTCTCCACTCTTCATGCCTCGACCTCCACTGATGACAGTCTGGAATAACATGCCAAATTAAAGCATTTTGATATATGTATACAGTAGCAAAAAGCAAGGACACTTTGCAATATTCACTGGAAAATATTAGAGTAAAAACAAGCATTGAATGTAATGAAATGCCATTTTCTGGGTGAGACCCAGAGGCTTCCCAGAGCTATCCAGGCTGATATGGATATACTGTACACCACAAGGCACGGAACTTGAAAATTTCGGAGCCAGAGACACACAACCTTGCCAGTTCCACATTAGCCACAGAACTGCAGGGTGGATAGCCGGTACTGGGGTCTGAGGCCTCACCTTCCCGCTCCCGGGAAGGAGGGGTTGTGCAGACAGCGGTGCGTTGACATGGTGATGTCATGCTCGTTTGCTCATTTTCATTTGGGGAGTTCTGTCCACTAGTTCGGCTTTCAGTAGCAATATTTTAACCAGAATAGGGGTTTGCTTTGGGGCGCTTACCTTTCTGGGTACCTGACCCGGTCGATGGCAGACATAGAATGCTTCCAACTACACAGGGGTTTCTATAGGCCATTGATCCTTGTGCCCCTCTGAGGGGACCAGGTTCTGGCTTGTGGTCCCCTGTAGGCCTAGAAGTCCATGCATACAGACTGATGCTGGGTCTAATACATTCATATCAGCCTGGATAGCTCTAGGGAACCGAAGGGGCTCCCGTCAGAATAAAAACCTCTGGAACGAAACAAAAGAGCCCAAAAGAACCTGGGGAAAGTCCAAACCACCATATTTGCCAGCGGTTCTACACCACAGAAGGAAGGGCCAAACACAAGACCCAGACAGTATCTCCAGCCAAAACAGCCAGAAACGAATCAAAAACGGAGTGTCAAAGGCCGTGAAAGCAAGCAGAGCAAACAGGCACGAACACAGGGCCCAAAACCAGGGGCTCAGAACCCAAACACAGACAGAAAACACAAAATTGGGCAATAAAAACGTTCCCAGAGGAACAGAATGCCCCAAAAGAAAAAACAAAACGGACACGGCCATAGGAGAAGAAACTTCAGACGGAGGCGAAAAAATGCCCCCAGAACGCGAGCGCTCACTCCCAGGTTTGTGTAAACAAACTGTTTGGTGACCAGGTGGGAAAAAGCCTGTAGAAAGAAAATGGCCATCACAACAAAAGAAGATACTGCCGACGCAAGGAAGCCGAAACATGCCAGCAAATAAGGGAAAACAAAGCAGATGGAAGGTAATTACCTAAGTGTAATTACCTAGGTGTAGTTACAGGATGAGAGCTACGCTCGTGGTGTCCCGTCTTCCCAGCACTCTTTGTCATATAACGCTTTGAAACTACTGATGGTCTTGGCCTTCACCACCTTCTCACCTAACTTGTTCCAACCGTCTACCACTCTGTTCACGAAAGTGAATTTTCTTATATTTCTTCGGCATCTGTGTGTAGCTAGTTTAAATCTATGACCTCTTGTTCTTAAAGTTCCAGGTAGGGAAGAAAAAAAAAAAAAACACCCAGACGGCACAAAGCACAAACAGGGACAAACAGCCTCAGAACCACAGGCGGGCTCCCCCTGCAGCCCCGGGAACCCCCCCCCCCCCACAGAGGCCTCAGGGCAGAGCAGTCCACCATGCTCTCTGCCCTACAGAAAAGACAGAGTCCAGAGGAAAGGCTGACAAGATCCGGAAGCCTCAGCAGGGGAAGCAGGCTCGAATGCCTCTGTTGTGGTCCCGGAAGGGGCAGTCCCCGAAGCCACCCAAGTTTCACAACCACCTAAACCTCGTCCCGACCCCGAAACCCTTAGACGTTTGGGATCTGAGAGCAGGACGAACACCACAAACCGGGGAAGGACTCGGGAGTGCGGACAAAACAAAAGTTGAAGTGACTAACACCAAGTCCGGGTCCCTATAAACCAAACGGGGCAGCCTCGAGACATCCTGGAGAACAACAAACCTAGCACACTGCAGCAACCAATATCTGGCAAGCAACGCCAAATCTGCCTGTACCTGAACATCAATATCAGAAGACCGGGTAATCAGGAGCACGAGCAGAGAACACCGTTCAACAAAGTTCAGGGAACAACAAAGTAAATGAGATGTATATCAAGTTTTGTGAAATATATGATAAAGGCACAAAAAAAATTTATACCAAAACAGAGATACAGAACTAGGAAACAGGATTGGTTTGACAGGACTTGCGAGAGGGCCAGAGACCAAAAGACACAAAAATGGAATCAATATAGGAAGAGGCTAAACCCCCATACATACCAGCGATACAAAGATGCGAGAAACAACTACACAGCAGTGAGGAGAGAGGCAGAAAGAAATTTTGAAAAAGGGATTGCGGACAAATGTAAAACAAAACCAGTTCTATTCTATAAATTCATAAACAACAAACTGCAGATAAAGGATAATATTTAGAGGTTAAAAATGGGAAATAGATTCACGGAAAATGAAAAGGATATGTGTTAAACATTAAACGAAAAGTTCCAAAGTGTGTTTGTACAAAATGAAATCTTCAGGGAACCAGACACAATAAGAATTCCAGAGAACATAGAAGTGTCTAGAGACAAAGTGGAAAAAATGCTCAAGGAGCTAAGTAAGAACAAAGCAGTTGGTCCGGATGGAGTTTCACCATGGGTTGTTGGTCCAGATGGAGTTTCACCATGGTTTCTGAGAGAATGTGCACCTGAGCTCAGCATTCCACTTCAACTGATTTTACAGGCACCCCTGTGTACAGGAGTTGAAGCTGATGTGTGGAAAAAGGCTAACATAGTTCCAATCTACAAAAGTGGCAACAGGGAAGACCCCCTCAATTATAGACTTGAAAATATTGGAAAAAATAATTAAAACTAAATGGGTAGAACACCTAGAGAGAAATGATATAATATCAGACAGACAGTATGGTTTTCGATCTGGAAGATCCTGTGTAATGAACTTACTCAGTTTCTATGATCGAGCCACAGAGATTTTACAGGAAAGAGATGGTTGGGTTGACTGCATCTATCTGGACCTAAAAAAGGCTTTTGACAGAATTCTACATAAGAGGTTGTTCTGGAAACTGGAACATATTAGAGAGGTGACAGGTAAGCTTCTAACATAGATGAAAAATTTCCTAACTGCCAGAAAAATGAGGGGCCGTAATCAGAGGCAATGTATCGGACTGGAGAAATGTCACAAGTGGAGTACCACAGGGTTCAGTTCTTGCACCGGTAATGTTCATTGTCTACAAACGACCTACCAGATGAAATACAGAATTATATGAACCTCTTTGCTGATGATGCTAAGATAATAGGGAAGATAAGAAACCTAGAAGATTGTCATGCCCTTCAAGAAGACCTGGACAAAATAAGTATATGGAGCACCACTTGGCAAATGGAATTTAATGTTAATAAATGTCATGTTATGGAATGTGGAATAGGAGAACATAGACCCCACACAACCTATTTAACCCTTAAACTGCGCAACGCGCCTGCAGGCTCACGTCTGGTTTGCGCAACGCGCCTCCGGATTAACCCTTAAACTGCGCAACGCGCCTATTTGGTTTGCGCATTTTTGTATTTTTCACGTTCCATTCAAAACTCCCGCGGCTACATGGGGTTCACATCAGCTTCCTCAGGGCTCTTGTAAACAGACGCCATCTTTAAAAAAAATCGTGGTCCACATTCCCGGGTGTGGGAGCCTCAGTAGTGTGTGAGCAACCAAGGCTGGCGCTCGCAGCATGAGCGCACAGCACTGCTGTTCAGCATGTGACCACAGCATCGCCTAATAATGTCAAAATATATATATAACTTGTATTATTTAGCTATGATAGTGTTATATTAGAGCCTGAGTGTGATAATGACTGAGTACAATGTTCAAATATCAGTGATTCAATGCTGTTCACGATGTTCACAGCGCTAGCCACAGCACCACAGCATTATTTCGTTCATCTAGGAATCTTCAAATGATTTCTTAGGTTCCTTTTCAAAATAAACGTGTGGTCAATTATTCCTTTACAGGAATTAGTGACCAGGATTGTGATAATAGCAGGATTGTGGTTATAATTAGCGTTGTGCGTAGTATTGTGGAAGGAGGAATTTTGATGAGGGAGGGAGGGCGAGAATTGAGGTAGCCTCATTGTGTGTGTGTGACTGCCACTCTTGTTTTGCTCACCATACTAGCTTAGTGGTTCGTTATGGGCAACACATATGTACATGGGTATATATAGTGTGTGTATATAGTGTAAGAACAGCAACAGGAGAATGTTGAGAGGAGCTATTTTGGTGAGGGAGGTGACGTAATCGTAGCGTCGTCTGCTGTGTGATTTTACATGCAGTGTATGGTGGCCACTGTACTGTTTGGACACAATACGGGCTTACTTGCATAGTTCTGGTAAATAAAACATGTAGATAGGTATATAGAACATGTGTAATAAGAACTATAACAATATGGTGGGAGGAGCAATGTTGGCGAGTAAGATGTTGGAGTGAGGGAGACTGGCTGGGTGTGGCTGCTCTCACTCGAGGTGTTCTGAATGTGTTCATGGCCAAATGCTCCTATTGGCCCATACGAGGCAGCTGCTATTGGCCCATACGAGGCAGCTGCTATTGGCCCATACGAGGCAGCTGCTATTGGCCCATACGAGGCAGCTGCTATTGGCCCATACGAGGCAGCTGCTATTGGCCCATACGAGGCAGCTGCTGTTGGCCCATACGAGGCAGCTGCTATTGGCCCATACGAGGCAGCTGCTATTGGCCCATACGAGGCAGCTGCTATTGGCCCATACGAGGCAGCTGCTATTGGCCCATACGAAGCAGCTGCTACGCGGTGTTCTGAATGTGTTGATGGTGAATGTATATAGTGTGTGACAGTGTATAGTGTGTAAATAGATTGTATATATACACAAATTAGCATGATACATAGTAAATATGTGCTGCATATGTGTACACAAGTTTCATGCACGTAACACAGTGTCTACGGACAGTACGGATGTTGTACTGCGATATTATAGTGTACGTGTTCATTATACATTGGATTGGCACATAAAAACAATGAAA